ATTGTGTTAAAAAACACTTAGTCTTGCAGTATTTTCTATACTAGCGAGTTGTTTTTCTTGTTCCTCCTAAGATATCCAGTGCGACATGTAGGCTGTGGGACAGGGACTGTTGGCAGAGGGACTGTTGAGAAAATGCTCTGTATTTACAGCAAAGGGAAGAGTTCGTACCCCTCACCCCCCCCCCCCCCAAAAAAAAAATAATAAATAAATAAATATATAAAATTCAAAACTCCTGCGCCATTATCGCTCTGCAGTCCCACCTTGCTGAAGGACACATAACTTTGGAAATTCCGAAGGCTACCCGATTCATATCAAAACTTTTGCCCCTATTTCATGATCTATCAAGAATTGTAGAGCTGACTGAGAGTAGATAAGAATCAGTTATTAGAGATTAAAGAAAGTATCACGATTAAAGTAAGAATCATGAGGTTCATCATTAATTCCTGGCGGTTCGTGGAATTCGTAGTGGAATAGGGGTAAAGCAGGGGTAAGGGGCTTTTTATACCTGGCTTGAGGGAACATTCCTCAAAATTTCAAGAATAGTCAAAATTACATTTACAATGGTGCCATTATCATGAGTTCAAACGGTAAATAGTTAGGTTTCTTAACATAATTATAAGTGGGTCCTACAGGGTCAAGATTTCTGCATGTACCAGAAATGTGCAAAAATTCCACGATTTCTTGCGATTTCTGAAAATTAGTCATTTCCTGGCGGTTCGTGAAATTTGTAGTCGGCGTGGAATAGGGACAATAGTCGCACAGCCACTCTGTCGCCCAACGGGCATTGACAGGGTTCGAAATTCAAAGGAAATAAGGCAAAAAATAAAAAAAATAACAAGAGGGAAAGACAATAAATATGTTATAAGACAAAATAAAATGAAGTTAAAATGAAACAAATAGAATAAGAATAAATATCTGAATGAATGAATGAAAAAATTTGCAGTAATACGCCCGAATGTACAAATGTATTATAATTTTGATATCAAGAATGTAACGGATAAAATAATTGATAGTGGTCATGAAACCATTTGGCATTGAATATTCTGACGACTAACTACACTTTGTCCAAATATAAAAATCCAGATTTGCTCTCAGCCAGACAAATAAAGAACGTATTTTGATGCTTTGATTAGTTTCTAAAAAGAATTTAAGAAAATCAACATGTCAGTGTACAGGGTGGATCCACGATTATTTGATTGGGGGGGGGGGGTCGACGAATGTGAAGCCGACCTTCCCCCCTCTTGGTGTGGAGTCCGAGACCCGCTGAAGGGCCCCGAAAATTTTGGTATTTTAGATTTCAAGAGGGGACCATTTCTGTTTTTTCTTTTTTCTTTGTTCATAAATCGAAGATCAGGGTCGGGACACCCTCCTAAATCCGCCACTGATGTATATACGATAAAATATTTATTCATCCATCCAACAAATCCTTAAAACAAAACTTGATATTTTCACACACTTATGCCATTATTCATGAGCAGTATTATTCATATTATATAGAAAAGAGTTTTTTATATTACACATTACTTGTCAAAACACCTTTTTGTCAGTTAAATAGACCCGAATTTTAGACTGACCACGGGAAAGTTTAGGTGTCGAGTTCAGAGCAGTGATATGAATGGCCTGTGCACTGCTAACATCAAACAACGCATCCAATTTTAAAAGAATTATTTATTTATTTTTGCATCTGATGTTTATTTCATGTCATGTCAATTTTAATTTTTGATCAACAATCTTAGTTGATCCTTGGACATAATAAGACATATTAATCCTTTTTATGTCCAAGGTTGATTCTTAAATATACAGACATTCTCCCGGACAACACACCAGATGACATGGGACACTTTCCAAAACTTAAAAACAATTAAAATATTTTTGAACCACCAGCAAGATCATCACCATTCAAAATCTCTAATATGAACATCACTTCCGGCCCAGTCTTATATTACTTGAGGGGACTTCATTTGCATATAAGAAAAAAATGCATTTTTCCTGATTTTGGCTTGTCTCCAATTTTTCTTTATTTTTTAAAAAGTCCCCTTTTTGCTCACTTATTGGGAAAGATTTGATCGACACGTGATGCTTATTTTAATTAAGATTATAAAATCGTAAATAACCTTATCACCTTTTTACGTTTTCATTCTCATTATAAGCCGTTATAATAGCGCCGTAAGCTGCATGGGTATAAAAGTAGGTCAATTGCCTGTATAAAATTGCCATACGATTGTGGACCGTCTAAGGGGGGGGAGACAGAAGTGGGAGAGGTATCAAGATGTCAGCGAAATGCTTGAAGTACTCAGGGTTTCTGAAAGGCAGAGTTTGTTGCAATCTTATAAAAACAGAAATAACTAGCTCAAATTTAAAGATTCAGAATGTCGAATTTTAAAGACATCAATGCTCTTCTTTATTCCATCTTTCTCCCCCTAAAATTCTCCCCCTTCACTGTTCATCTCCCGGGAAGCGCGAAGTATCCAGCGAGCAGCCAGGTGGCAAGCTATTCAAAAGACTATGAACTGGCAATTCATTTACTAGAGGGGGTGCCGGGTTGCAAAGGAAGTGTTGTATTTGCTTACATCTAAAGAAGCGTTTGATGAAAAGAAGGAAAAATACTTCAATTTCTCGTTAATTTTCATCAAGTACAATGAAAGATACCGATAATTTATTCTAAAAATCGACATAATAAGTGAACGCACAAGGGTTTAACCTATTTTACCTAAAAAATTTTATATGGTATCTCCTATCCGTGACCTTTAGACCTACTTTCTAATAACACACTGCTAAACAGGCTGGCTGTAGAAGGTGCCTTGTTTAAATGAGACCGTTAGGGGGCGGCTTGGTGGGGGGTGTAATCCCCACATCAGGATTGGATATCTTCAACATACCAAGGAGTTACAACTGTTGTAACTCCTTGAACATACTAATGCATCGTTTTGAGTTCATGAACATTTTAATTCATCGATTTGAAAACGGATTCCCTATATTTAACACGGTTACTTTATATTTCAAATAATACAGCTGAATTGTGAAATTGGCTACGAGGAAGACCTTTCGGTTTGAAATTTAAAACAACTGATCATGACACCTGAACCGTACAAAATTGATCGCGTCCAATTTTCAACAAATATGAAATTTTACAAAATCATAATTATTATTTCTTTATATAATGTATAATTAATTTCTCGTTATTTAATTGTAATGCCAGTCTTGTTTATATGCCTATTTTTCTTGCATCGCAGGTCGTAACTAGGCATAGAACATGGAGGTCTGAAAAACTGAATATTGTGCGCAAGTAAAATTCCTGTGATTTTGCTATGTGCGCCGATGGCTAATATTATTGCATAAATTACAATAAACAATACAATCCCCATACTTTATTTCAGTAAACTACCTTTCTATGAAATTGCTTGATCCCTTATTTTTTATTAATAAGTGCGTAAAAGGAATGTAAATAGTAGTATCTGACAATCTAAATTCGCTGCATTTTTTGCTGCCTTGCTTGCCTCTGCAATTAAGTGTGCAAGCATAAAGGTTGATAGCATATACTGTAATATTAAAGAAATAATCAAGTGGAATCTATAAGATTCGTCCTTTGAAGATAGAGAAAAATCGAATTAAATCTGTAGTTTTGTTAATAAGTTATAAATAAGTTATAAGGTTTTCATATCAAAACTTTATTAACTAGAAAAGCGCTCAGAGAGCGCAGACCTTCGCCAAGACAGCAAAGTCTCCATCCAATGCCGTTTCAGCCCTTAATTTTCGATATTTTTGATTATTAATTATTGATTGATTATTGATCCAGATCACCACCAAAAACTAATCATCTGTTCCTTGGCCCACTTCTGACAGTTCCTGAAATTTTCATCGGTCCATAACTAAGTTTTTTTATTATTGATTATTGATTGATTATTGATCCGGATCACCACCAAAAACTAATCATCTCTTCCTTGGCCCACTTCTGACAGTTCCTAAGTTATAAATAAGTTATAAGAATTTCATATCAAAGAAGTTGTTTATAAGATCATTTTAATCGAATTAAATATTATCATAAATTCTTTTCATCTCCCGAGGAAGACACACTGTACAATGGAATGGAGGCGCTCTCCGTGTGTGGTTTATGTATCTTATCAAGTTGTATGCATTGATTTGCATTGATTTGTTATATTCACGTCTCTGTTATTTTTATTTCGGATTAGCGCTGCCTCATTTGTAATATTCACTTCGCTGTTCTAGTTGATTTATTTAAAAAGAAGAGTGCATGATGCTGGTAGCTTTATATAACCGGTGAGTTGAATAATATATAAATTATTCAACAAGAACCACGAACTTCAGTTCAGATGCTAAGTAATCAGATGCTTATTTCATTTTTAAATCTTCAGGTACAAGTTGAGCAGGAGTGCGTACAGTAGAAACCAACGAATTGGAAAAAGCTGTCCCGCAGTGTATCTAAGACTGGGTTCCCATGCCTAGATCGACCCAACAGGATCGGTCTAACTCCACGGGGATTCACCCTAAATTGCTATCAACTTCAGTGGCTTAAATGTCTGTTACGCCTTTCGAATCAGCTAAGGGGTAATTAACTTTCATACACGCTCGGTCTCCGGTAGTTAATTACCCCCTAACAGCTTTAGACGCCGTGACAGACATTTAAGCCGCTTAAGTCTATAGCAATTTAGTGAGAATCCCCGTGGAGACAGATGATCCGAAGTTAGTATGGGACCATTCCACAGATATTTGGATCGATCTATCCCCCTGGAGAGTCTCACATAATTGCTATCAACTTAAACAACTTAAATGTCCGTCACGCCTAGTAAAGCTGTTGGGGGTAATTATCTTTACACCTTGCTGATTCGGTAGGCGTGACAGACAATATTAATTAAGCTGGTTATGTTGCTAGCTATTTAGTGAGACTCCCATGGGAGTTAGACCGATCCAGATGGATCGATCTAGGCATGGAAACCCAATCTATGATATCTATGGGAATGGTCTCTATAATCTCTCAATAAATGTACCTTTTATGAAAATAAACGGAGTTGATGGTAAATGTGCCTCCCGGTCAGGTACACTTGATGTTTGTTTCTGAGGTGTACAGAAGACCAAGGGCACCTTTCCCCTCTATTCTGACCCGCCTAAAATTGCCACATTTTCCTATCATTCGCAGAGCTTGGCGAAATACACGAAGTTCTTCAAAGAAATCGTGTCCTTGTTGGTTTAGAGTTGCTTTAAATTTCGACAGAAAATGGTGATACAGATAATAGTCTGCTTTGCTCCACTTTTTATGTTGTAATTGAAACGATGAGTTTGCAACTACATTTGGGTCAAACATATACGGCTTCACATTAATGGGCAAGTACAACACATATTCCATTTTCCAGCATAGAAGACGCCTCAAGTAAATCAAACTTTCGTCAAAATACTCCGTAATGATCACAAAATCAAACTTGGAATCAAGATAATCAACATAATGTTGAATGAAAGTTTCATTATCCCTCAAATCATCTCTCTCTTCTGGAAACCCAAACTCGAACATCATGCTGTTTCTACCGAAGGCCGTCTGATCTTTAACCCGTACGTGGCGATCCCAGTGTGTTTGTGGGGCTCTGAGAAATTCATCGATTGGGACGTGGAATTTATTCCACAAGGAGAATCCGTTGTAGGCACTCTTAAACTGAGAATAAGGTTCTCGGACAACCCCGACATAAAACGAATCTGACGGCATCATACTACTAACGACGTCGTAGTCAAATACCATATGATCGACAATCATATCGTATGTCTTTCCGGGTTCGTAGAGGGCATCTCCCTTGGTGATCCGCCTCGGACGGAGCGGTCCTACCGGATAAAAATGGTCCGTGGCTTTCGGTTTAAGGATATTTAGATGATATTTGAACGCAGCATGTTTCATGATACGATAGCAGGTGGTGGAGAAACACTTGGAAACTTTCAGATAGACGACATGCTTTTGGGGCTTGCACGTCGTGATGTTCGTCGGCTCCTTATACCGCAGAGGAAATGGTCGAGGGTTAGAGTATCTACCCCGTGTAAAGTGAGGCCACATATCTGTCGCTCTTGATAAATGAAATGTAAGTGTCTTATTTCTTGTCTGCAAGAACCGTCTGGAATATCCATCTGTAAGTATGATAAAAACATGTAACTCTTGAGTTTAGGCGTGGATACACGAAATGCGGGCGCGCGCGCACAAACACCTATTCACTCTTTAACGCACACAAGAGGGAGAGAGGAAATAAAAGAAATGCATCAAAAATTCAGTTTTGAGTTTTATTAAACCCCCTCAATGTTATTCATTAATTCGTTTGAGCTTATATACCCTGTTCGCAAAAATCAGGCTACAATCGACTTTACAAAATTGGTTGTTTTAATAATTGCCAAATATTGTTGATAATTTTGAATGAATCTACTGTATGTAAAGAAGACCGCCCAACATAAAATTTTTAAGGCAGGTAGTTATCATACCTTTTGCAATAACTAGCCCATTTTGGTGATTTTATCTGCACGGGTTACGGGTTATCCCATGAACCGATCGTTATTCGTGTCTAATTCGAATTGTTTTTCTATAGTTGAAAAACGCATCGACAGAAAGCAAGGGTACTTCAGCTCAGTGACAACTCTACCTGTTATCGATATAGTGATTTGCACAGTCACTTGCTATACTCTATAAAAAGAAAATGAAAGAAAAAAAAAAACGAAGTTACTTGTATATTTCATGCATAGGCGTCTGCAGGGGGGTTAATGGGGCCAGTTGACCCCCCCCCCCCCTTGGAATTTTGGCGGGCACGTTAATTGCGGGTACCTAGCCAATCATTAACTCCCCCCTTCCATGACTTTGACCCCCCTGAAAAATCTTCTGCGGAAGCCCATGATTTAAGGGTATATAACCCTATCAAAACTATTGTTACTTGTCGAAAAATCCTGTTAGTCTTAAGATGCAGGCTGACATATGAAAACAGAAAGAGAAAAAAAAAATCTTGTTGGCGGTAAGTTAAAACACGTCTTACCTTGAGGGTTTACCCTAAGGTTGTAACTGCGTAATCGTAGGCTTATGAGGCAGAACCCCATCAATGCAAAAGTTGACAACAAAAAATAACAGGTTGAGCCACGCATTGTATCCGATATCAAACTTAATATATAACAGTTTTCTTTAAACATATATTTACGCAGGCCTGTTTGTGGTTATGATGCCAAGCTGTTAATCTTTTTATGTGAATTTATATCATGGACTCATAAATTTCCAATGAAATTATCGTTCTACGTGGATCGATCTCAGGCCTAACCTGTCCAGGAATTTGGTGAAAAATTGTGCATTTTTTATCTACAAAGCATGAAATTTGGCACACTTATGGACAATGAAATTCTAAGTAAATCTGGATATATTGGCATGTCTGAAAATTCCAAAATGGCCGTCAAATCCAAGATGGCCACCAAATACCTTTTCAAATTAAAACTTCGAGTACATAGTCTTCTAATGACTTAAAATATCATATAAAGGTTAGAAAACACCATGGTATGAATCCTTCAGGTGTATAAAATCCAAAATGGCCACCAAAAGTAAAAAAGCAGACCACTTATTCAAGATATCCATTAGAATGGTGAATTCATCATGCACTTAAAACTACAAGCATAAAATTTGGCATATTTGTGGACAATGAAATCCTGAGCAAGTTTGGATGTATTGGCGTGTCCGAAAATTCAAAAATGGCCGCCAATCCAAGGTGGCCTCCAAAAATACGGCTTCTCATTAAAACTTCAAGTATATAGTCTTTTAAGGGCTTAAATATCATATAAAGTTTAAAAAACACCACAGTATGAATTCAGTATCAATATCTGCTTCTTTGTGTGTATTAAATCCAAAATGGCCGCCAATAATATAAAGCAGTCCACTAATCCAAGATATCCAGCAGAGTGGTGAATTCATCAAAAACTACATGCATGGCATTTGGCACAGTTGTATAAATGGGATTCCAAGCACTTTTGGATGTATGGGCATGTCCAAAAATTCCAATATATGGCCCCTAAATCCAATATGGCCGCCACAAATACCCGTTCAAATTAAAACTTCAACTATATAATCCTATAATAGCTTAAGATAACATTTTATGGTTAGACAAAACTATGGTATAAATGAAGTATCCATATTTGCTTCTTTAGGTGTATAGGAATCCAAAATGGCCTGCAAAAATAAGAAAAACAGGCCACTCACAGCAGCAGTATGGTGACTTCATCATGCACCTAAAACTACAAGCATGAAAATTGGCACAATTGTAGAGAACAGGATTCTAAGCAAATTTTAAAGATAGGGACATGTCTGAAAATTCTAATGTGGCCACCAAAACTCTTTTAAAGTAAAAATTCTACTTCATAATCTTATAACAGCCTTTTATCTTTTTTGGTTTGAAAATAGAGCTCAGTTTAGATGCATTATCAAAAACCGCTCCTTTAGTTACATTAAGATCCAAATGACCGTAAAAAGTGGAACAGGACTCCTTTTGGTCTAGTTGTGACACCACATGCAGCATTTCTATAAATGCCAAAGGATATGAAAATGTCAAGGTATTTTCAAAATAAGTTTTAAATGAACGAAAGTTATTTCATCAAGTAGGTGTTGCACATTTTATGGGCGATCAACCTATTACTTTAGTAAATGGACAATATCGCAACAGAGGATAACAGCTAGCTAGACCGAAATTGCAAGTTTATATGCTTTTAAAACATTGATTTGTTTTCATTTTCAATTTGCAAAGGACTTACATGTCACATATTTTTACATATCTACTTATTTTGTTAAATAATTTTCATTCATTAATGTGTGCCTAGCTTTAGTTGGGTTTCCCTCAGCTTTCCCAGGATTTGCCTAAAGCTATAGCTTCTACTTGTAATCCACATTCCCCAACAAAATACCAAGAGGCATTGGTCATTTTTAACACCAGAAAGCATCAGTGTACATGCATGAGGGACAATATGAATATGAAAGTGTGGTAGGGCATATTAGTAGATGTAGGTTATTAATGTGAACCCATATAGGACCAGTCTCCCAATGCTTCTGACTCCCCTCACCACAGTTAGCAATTGCACACAGAACTACGAACAAATGTGGTAGGAGCTACCTGCGAAAGGCAATTTTGTTATCTGGGTAAGTGAATACTCCCCATGGCTTCATTTTGGATTGTCCCACAGAGACAATGATGCCGGAAATCTCGATGAATTTTTACCTTTCAAAGTCCATATTGCACTAATTTCTTGGTATAATCCTAAGAATACACCGTGAATTTTTGAAGCTTTATATGCATTAACTTTCTGAAGGATTTAATTCTTTTATTATCATGTTCAGTTATTTGAAAGTATAAGTTAGTAGCTAAACAAGTTGCCAAATGATCAAATGAAACCAAAGTTTTTTTAATTGCACGAAGTTTGAAGCCTGCAATGCAACTCTTGGATAGAGCACGTATCAACACCTGCCCTCTGTTTGGGGTATTCCTTTGCTCATCAATTTCACTAAATTCTCGGTAGCCATTACTGCGAATGTATTAAATCCATTTCTTGAAATTAGAAGCTTTTCTAATTTACTTCTGAAGCACAAGATAACATCATAAGATTACAACTGTGCCCCTGCTTTTAGTACTTTACTAATGCACCGCACCAAATTGTTGAAACCTGTATGTTTGATTAGCTGTCATTTTTGTTATATGTGTGAGCATTTGATCACGAATTGTGATTTAAAACTCCGTCCTTACAGCACATTTATATTGTGAAGCGCCATGCACTGATGTAGCTGAAGAATCATAACCAACAGACAAAATTGGTACACCCCAAGCTTTTTTATATTTGCCTTTTTGAGGCTAAATTATTTTGGTGTTTCTTTCACATTTTATGGATTTTGCACGATACCTTTTTCTTAGAAAGGGGGAGTCACCCATGAGTGCCATTTAAGTAGATTGCTAACTGGGAATTGATCTAAATGAGAATCCAGAGCAAAAGGCCAAACTATTTATGTTGGTTTAGCAAAAGAAGGACTGTTTTCAGTGCATAATAAATGTATCATGCTTGATGTAATTTATACAAACTCTGTAGAATAGCCCCTGCACAAGTAGGAATATAATGATTATACAGGTTGTTGCTAAGCCCACATGCCAATTCACGAGTGATTACAATTCAATACATGTGGCCCACTGACTTTTGGAGGCCATTTTGGAATTTTAAAACCTAAAGTGGCAGATACTGATACTACATACATACTATGGTATTTTCTAACCATTAAATGATATTTTTATAAAAGACTATACAAATAACTTTCACCTTGAAAGGGTATTTTGGGGGCCATATTGAAATTGACTGCCATATTGGAATTTTAAGACATGCCTCTATATCCAATGTTGCTTTGAATCATGTTCTCCACAACTGTGCCAATTTTTATGCTTGTAATTGTAAGTGCTTGATGATTTCACCAAACTACTGCATATTTTGAGTAAGTAGACTGCTTATTTTACTTTTGGAGGCCATTTTGGATTTCTATACACCTTAGAAGCGGATGTTGATAATTCGTTCATAGCATAATATTTTCCAACTATAAAATGATATTTTAAACCATTATAGGACTATATATTAGAGGTTTTAATTTAAAAGAGTATTTGTGACGGCCATATTGGATATGGCGGCCATATTGGAATTTTCAGACATGCCCATATATCCAAAATGGCTAAGAATTCCGTTATCTACAACTGTGTCAAATTTCATGCTTGTAGGTAAAAAATGCACAATTCACCCTTTTTTCTGCACCAAATTCTTGGACTATAAGAGACTCGGCACCGAATGACCCCGAATACGGACCACACCCGTATGGACCCCTCCACCCTCTAAATCCGCCACTGGTCTGCTCCTCTTTCAAACTGACAATCTGCTCTAATAATTCCGGCCAGTAAATTTGATAAGAAGGGTACCAAAAAAGTATGACAGTTTTTTTACTCCCACCCTCCATCTCTCGGATGTACATGTACACATGAAGACAAAATTGATCACAATTCTTGTTTTAATGCATGAAGTAAATTGACAAAATTAAAACTTTTTAATACAACATTCGCCACTAAGCTGTACCCTAGCCTGCGGCCCGGCATTACACTGGTAAGTTCGGCTCGGCGACTTGCATTGTATGTATCGCTTATTGCAATGTCCAGGATGCTTACCCAGCGGTGGTTTAAGCCTCGGTCACAACCGGCCGTACGGGCTCTTACGGGCTGTTTGCGTCAAAATTTTGCGCAGAATCTCACTTCCCACGCAAGTCCTTCTTACGAAATTTCGAGTTCGCATACCACCCGTAAGCACGTACTTTCCTCTACCTCTACGACTTCCACGGCTTCCGCAACAACCAAAAATCGCAGCGGACGTACGATCCTGAGATTCGTGCGTCCGGTTGTGACCGAGGCTTTATTCATCGCTATTTGGGTTCACTTCGGAATCAGCTTCGTCTCCAAGAAAACAACATACATGTACCTGTACAGAGTTTAGGATGTTACTCACACAAAGATCCGACGCGGATTTCTTTGGCATTTTCTTTTAATTGTTTACTGCAATCTATACCCCTATCAATAAACCTGAGAAAGCAATCCGCTTACCGCACATTTTCGTGAATGGGCATCCAAACGTAAGGACATTTAGAGGAATGTGTGATATATTGAGATATTTTTAGGCTGAATTAGGAGATTGGTAGATATGTCCCTAAAACGAGAGACTCCCGACAAGATCGGGATATTTACTGGTATGGGCCACAGACTGATCGGCGTTTGAGAAATTATAGAATTCATATAAACTACTCAAAAAATAACTCTATCAAATTCATCAAATAGCCCAATCCACCGATTGTAAGAAGCAAACAAAACAACGAGAGGACATGTTCGGAAAGTCGATATTCATCCTAGAGCAAGGTGCAATACTGTTATAAGCTGTCCATTAAGTGGGGTTTATGAGCCACATTGTTTGATTGTTAGCATTTTATTATTAGTTCACTCATTCATAGAAGCAAGGTGTTTTTACACTTATGTATTTATGATATCCAATGTAAAATAACAATAATTGATCTTCATTTCTGCATTCATTTGCTTAAACATATATAGGAAAATGCACATTTTATATGAATAAAAGTAAACATCAAATGCAAAACATTGTTGACACTATGTTGCACAATTCAGTGACAGATTATCAGTGGGTCTGGTTGATGACACTTATGTGAAAAATATTTGCGTATTTTAAATGATGCAATTCAACATGTACACCGATTACATGAGCATATGAAGTCAAATTAAACGACCATGATTTGAGAAACCTGTTAAGTATATTTTTATTTATATATAATAAAATGCTCGATTGAAGGCTCATAATTGATATGTGTTGTGTGCAATAATTGTTCATAGGTAAGTAAATATAACGCCGTAGATGCTGTTACTAAGCAGCTTTTAAATTTATTTAGCAGAACCTACAAAAGCTTTCTTGTTGATAAAGGATAGCCATCTATTTCCGCATATCAGACAATCTGTGGGAAGTGCACTGTACAATTTTTTTTTTATTTCTTGCAAACTTCTCCATATATCCTTTAAAAATATGAGAAAAAAGTTTTCTTTATTTCTTATGCTTCTGCTCACAATTCTGAATAAATAGAATATCTAGCTATCCTATTGTGTGCAAGCTACCAGGGTGACAACTTCAAAAGAACCAATGGACACTGCACATTTGACTTCAGGCTTAGATTTTCTTTAACTATTCCAGTCAGGCCACGTGACAAAAGGTTTAGAGTGTACATACATGACATTGTAACATGTGGCCAAAGAATGCATATTATTACAGTGTACTTGTTAAAGTAACATAAAGTGTATAATTGGGATCAGGTTCAGGATAAGACAAATTTGCAATAAATGAATTGTGAATATTTTTCTTACCAAAGATTGCAACACCACCAACAAAAATTCTTGTTACAATAGATGGTTACAAGTTTCTAAGCACACCAGGGGCGGATCCAGGATAATTTGAAGGGGGGGGGTCCGTTTTTTAGGAATAACAGGCCTCGGATACGAAGCCGACCCTCGCCCCCCTTCCATCCCCCTTGACGTCGGGTTCGGCGCCCGGTATTTTAGAGGGCGAACGGTGCCATTAGGTACGATCTAGAACTATGATTAAGCTAGTCAAAATTCTAATATCAAGAGAGGAGTATTGGTGTGATTTATTTTTCAGAAACCGAATGGGGGGGCAGGGCCCCCCTGACATCCCCTTAAACCCTCCACTGCTTAGACTGCAGTGTTTTTCCTGTGCTGCGGTCTCGGCCTCACTGTGACGGCTAGCACAAAATCCATACGTTGTACTGGTTGTGCTTACGCACGGCAGGACAGGTCTCAAAAAGTGTTGACTCTCGACCACTTTGCGCTTCCACACACACACACACACACACACACACACACACACAAAAGAAGAACCAGCCCGTCCCTTCCTGTGTTGACGTGAAAATAGAGGGCAGGGGGCTTTTAAAACACCATTCTATTTATAGCTCGCTNATACGTTGTACTGGTTGTGCTTACGCATGGCAGGAAAGGTCTCGAAAAGTGTTGACTTTCGACCAGTTTGAGCTTCCACAAAAAAAAAAAAAAAATAGAAGAACCATCCCGTCCCTTCCTGTGTTGACGTGAAAAAAGAGGGCAGGGGCTTTTAAAACACCATTCTATTTATAGCTCGCTCTCCGACTGCCTTGGGCAGCCGTAGGTGTGTGAGGAGGGGGCCTTTCCCCAATATATTTTGAAATATCCCATTGATGTTGTGATTTTGTCATGTAAAGCAAATGTTGGTCTTCAAAATGGAAGATAGACTGCCTTGTATGAATAAAATTAACAAAGCTAGGCGGGACTAGTCTCTATAGTAGACAGCGTATGGAGTATTGCTCTCTACAAAAATTGCCCCGTTCATGAGAAGACGCGTTACTGTCTACCATTAAAAGACCCAGTTCAATAGAAAATGGAACGACTTTTTATATCAACCCTGTATCAATTTCTGATTCCCCAACGAGTAAATTCTGAATCATTCTTACGTATATAGAGATTAAAATAGATTAAAATAAATGAAGAGAGCGAGAGCGAGAGAGGTTGAACAATAAGAATGGAACTATACGGCATTTCGGTACTGAGTTTACTTGTGAATGACCCTTAAATTGGGGCTTATGTAAGCTCAGTATCTGTGGGTATTTTTAAGGGCAAATTTGGGACAAAGGAAGCCAAGATATGAAGTTGCCTCGTACACAATTTTTGAGTGCACTTCTTTTGTTTACGTACTAAAAGAGAGGAATGTCAAGACTCGCCTACTGCCCCCGGTTCTTCTGTTTAAACCCCTTTGACTTATCTGCTGACAAACCGACTTTTCTCGACCTGAGCTTAAAACTACGGAAGATTTTTACCTAATCTGGGTTATAGAAACAAGTTAAAGATGTTTTCCTATGACAGATTAGTTGACAAAAAAAAATACTGAGAGAAAAAAGCTTCATTTTTAGTGTCACTTGCGGTATGAAACGTTAATGTACTGCACGTCGAATATTAACTGCAAAAAGCATGCCAGGAAATCTATTGCATTATAATATGAGCCTTCAGACAAAAATTCATAGAATGTGCTAAATGAGGCAAAGTTGTTGTCAATGCTGAATTAATTTTGTTTTTACTTAAAAATAGAATAAAATAAATTAGATAAAAAAAAGTATGTTTTCAAGTAAATATTCAGTCAAATATTAATTCTTATACGGCGTAGCAACCATTTTATATATAACAAAAAGATAATATTTTACCAATCCGATGAAATATAGTATGAAATATTGAACGAACAACTTCCATAAATTCAACCAAGAATTTCAAGTCTTTCATTAAACCGGCCTTACTTATTCCACTATCAGTTTATTTTAATAAAATTAAAAATTTCAAGCGTTATTGAAATCTGGAGTTTTTTATACTTATGAAGTACTAACAATATATCGCAGATTAAAGCTCGAAAGATTGTTATTTCATTGCATAAAATTGTTTTCAATTTTTATTTGGCAGTTTTAATTGTGTAGTTTATTTAAAAAGATCAGTTTTCACGCACGCTCCTGCCAATATACAGAGACGGGCTACTTATTGCCCCGGTCCTTTATAAGGAACATACAAAACCGGTACTTTTTAATTTTACCTGGCCACTAACATCATTATCTCGGCATTTTTTTCTCTCCGTAGCTCATGAGAAAAAGGCAAAGTTTTATTGTTTATACCATTCGTTTTTTTTTAAATGGTCGAAAAATATTCATTGGGTGTAAAAGAACATGAATAAATTCAGTTCGTATACGAAGTTCCGATTTCGTACGAGCACCAAAGAAAGGGTCATGTATAGTCATTTTACATCATATCCAGAAAAAGAATGACAACTGATTTTTAGTACAATTAAAAACAACTGTGAAAGAACCCGGGACTCTTTCACGTTGTTAAATTTCAGTCCCTCGGTTGAAATAAAGAACCCGACGTTTTTTTAACGAGCTGCAAAAAAAGAAAATAGAATGCCCCCTACCTGCAGAATGCTACAACATGTATTGTTATAGACAGGTATGAATCAGATTCAAACAGGCTAATCCAACTTTGATAGAAGCTGTCAAGCGTACACGACTATGAATGACAGTTTTTTAAACAAACGGCAAACACAATTACTACACTCTTCTCTCTGAACATGTAAAACTCCAACATCCTTTGATTGACAAGATGCCAATCAAATTCAGTTAATTTTGATATTTGCTGTCAAGTAATAACAGCTTGATTGGCAGGTTATATAAACAAACGTCAATCAAATATGTTTACAGTAGATCACTACAGTCGTCGAACACGTTACGTTCAAGCTTCCTACATCCTTTGATTGACAAGGTGCCAATCAAATTCAGTTAGTTTTGATAGTTGCTGTCAAGTAATAACAGCTTGATTGGCAGGTTATATAAACAAACGTCAATCATCGCGCCCAGTGATTTCTCTCGCTGTGAAGCAATGGTTACGCCGAAAGAGAGCGCTAGAATCTGAAGTTGGTATAGTAATTAACTTGCAAAATATTTAAAGAGAATTTATACAACATGTTTCAAAACTAGTTTTCTTTCTGAACCCTTTAGCGTGTCTAATACAACACTCTAGATTACAAACTATTTTGTAAAAAGAAGAATTTAGCAAAAGAAACCAATTTAAAAACAGATTCAAGTAAAGAAATATGACATTTAGCGTTATTCTGGAGGTAGCGCATGGGTCATTTCAAAATTAGTACAACTATGTGCCCCTGTATGTGATTGGAAGAAGGAAAAATAAATGTTTTTGCATTATGTGTGGAATATTGACATATTCTTTTACTGTCAATGTTTACTTTCTACAAAATAAATAAATAAATAAAACAATACTAATTCATCTTCATTAAAGGTGACATTCGTGTTGTGGTTAGGGTACATGTAAGTGGTTTAATTTTTGCGGGGCTAAATGTTAGCAAGGATCTGTAATAATAAGTGGATGGGAAACAAAAATATAACTGTAAACAAAAATATTACTATCTTATTTAACAAACAAACCGCCACTTTGCTCTTGTAACTATTTTTTTAGTTTATTCTATTGCAGTAAAGCGTGGATAAAATAGTTCAAAACGCCCTCACAGTACCGTTGTTTTTTTCGACTTCAGCTGCTGGGGTTAGGTGAAGAGGAGAGGACAGGGGCAGATCCAGGATTACTAGAAGGGGGGCGGAACACCAGGTCTCGGATGCGAAGCCGACTATCGCCCCCTTGGTGTGGGATTTGGGGTCTGCTCAACGGTACCGACAAAAACGTGGTGTTTTGGAGAGCAAACAGTGCAACCGGATACCTGATTACTAATTTCAGGACAAAGTAATTTACTCCGTTACCAAAAAGAAAAAAAAGGTAGAAAGTAGTTCCTTTCCCAACATTCAAAGCGTGCTAAGACTGCCATCATATCAGCTGTGTACAAATATAGCCTTGATATTAATATAATGGACAATAATGCTGACCAGGACCCTGTAACTCGAAAGCATCGTGCTTTGCGACCGAACTCAAGTGTCTCGATTCCATAACTCACCCATACTCGTCCCATTTAACAGTGGCGGATTTAGAGGGGGTCAGGAGGGTCTTGACCCCCCCCCCCCCCCCCCCCTTGTCGGTTTCTGAAAAATCACATTAATATTCCCTTCTTGGAATTAGAATTTGAACTAGCTGATTTATAGTACTAAACCGTACCAAATACCAAATGGCACCGTTCGCCCTCTAAAATACCAAAAATTTCGGGGGCTCACCGGACCCGAACCCCACGCCATTGGGGGATGCTTCGCATCCGCGGACCCCCCTTCAAATAATCCTAGATCCGCCCCTGATTTGTATAACTATATCACATGCCACATTAAGAAATAAATACTTTACTTTACCATTTTAGTGGTCTTAACAGATATATAGCCCGCTTTTTCCTATAACACTTCATACTTGAAATCAGGGGTAGCATGTTCAGTGGTCTAACGTGCGTGTGTGTACTGTATGTGTGTATGAATGTATGTGTGTGCGTCGATGTATTTTTTTCTGTGTAAGCGTTTGCACTATGTGTGTGCACTTTGTGTGTGTGTGTCTGCGCTTTGCATTTCTATGCACTGAATGTGTGTGTGTGTGTGTGCGCGCGTGCGCGCGCGCGCTTGGTGATCGGTGATAGCTTCCATTGTGTTTGGTGAGATGCTCTTTGGCTGCATTGTTGGTGGCGATAAATCTCACCATTGCCACGCGTTTCATCGTCAGCAGGAGCACTTGAACCACTTTTGGTTATTTCTGTGAAAATAACGTTGTAACATGCAAAATAAAGGGAGGAGCGTTCTTCTTTGCAACATGTAGTAAATTAATCGCAACCTAATTCAGAATTATTATGTAGGGTAAACTTTAAGACTAATTATTAAAAGCAACGCAAATGTTGCGTTCGTAAAGAATACTATGTATGGAGCACGGCATATTAAAATGGGGGTTGAATATCGATGCAAAGCGCTAAATGAAAACAAAATCTGAATGGGTTTCTGACTCTTTCCTAATTCACAATGCCAATCGCCCTTTTCAATTTGATTTTGAGATAGAGAGAGAGAAAGAGAGAACAATACAATAATAATCCACTAGGAAAAAGTCATTAGATAAGGAACCCCTAAATATCATAATTCATCAATAACAGCATCATCAGCTATATATTAGAACTAGATTTCCTGTCTCATCTTCATTAACTTCCTCCATTCGCACATAGTTAAACTCATTTCCGCGTTAGCTTAATTGTGACGAATTCGTGACATGCGATCCACAAAAATAGCATTCAAAATACGAACCAGAGTGGCTTCATTCCCGTAAATAAGAGTGTTTTCTTATTCCTTACTTTCTGATGAGCAGTTTCTACGTAAACAAGTCAGGGGCAACTTAAGGCAGTGACTACAAGCAGCACTGTACATAGTATCATTATTGTTTACAGTTTCCCATCTGTAGTTAAAGAATATGACTGCGGCAAATAGAGGTGCCGAGCTCACTCAAAGCTTGAATTAATAGAACAATCTACTTACTACTTATTGTCTATGTGGTCTGACAAAACCAAAACATTAGTCTCGGGCCGTCTTGGTCCATATAGTTTTTATTTTCTGACATAAGAAATCCTTACTAAAAGATGCATATGAAGTCAGAATAAAAGCCCTACAGCGTGCATATATTATTGGTACCAGTTTCTAACATGACACAAATAAAATATACATTTAAAAAACTAATCTCACAGGTAGCAGAAGAGGTTCTGATGTTTGATCCGTGGACTAGTTATTCCGCGGACCAATTGGTTCTGAATGCAGCCTGTCTTTGAAGAATTGAATGTGTGGCGTATGTGAAATACGATTTAGGTGTAGAAGACCCCTGGGTCCTTGTAACGGACAGAAATCTAAGGCGGACATGTTAGATAAAAATGTGTGAACATTTCGACGAGGATGATAAGCTGCGAGTTACCAGTGATAAGCATCTGGCTTTTCATATCGCCAAATGTCATGAGTTTTTTCCGGCCCAAATGCAGTTAAGATTATCAAATATCATTCAGAGCCGCCATTACTTCTATTTCTTATTTAATCAATAGTACGTAAAAAGGTTAAGGCCAAATTCTACCGAACGCATGATAAAGGTTATGCTTGATATCATTTATTTCGTGGCAATCCGCACCAAAGCTTTTCTCCTCAGCCGCCGCCATCATATTACATCTCTAAAATGGTTAAATGTCACAACTGATACCCCTTCTGTAAGTAAGATGTATCTCTCACTATTTCAGTGTATCCCAATGTCTGTCCCATTCGCCCTGGTACGACAATTATATTAAAATCATAAAGTATGCAGATAATGGTTTGCCACCCACGTAGATCGATACCGCCATGACGTCAGAAAGTGCGTGGTTTAAGACTAAACTTGGTTTGGACTAGTCCTAGGCGTAGGAGGCGCTTTTTGGGCAAGTCAGTCACGAACACAGAAATCATAGTCTGAAGAAGCCTGTTTACTTTATTGAGTCAAATGTATATTTAGATAAATGTATACGTAATGCCAAACTCCCAAACCAATCTTTCCGAACGCTAAGCCCCCCTGCCCAGCAATCCATGCTGTCTGTAAGGGACCTTGGTGTGAAGGGGCAGAACACTGGATATGGTTATTGTCAATTCTGGCGAATTCGTTTAAAGTTAACACCAGGTGTAAACTGTTTTAGGCTGCAACTGATTGTTTGGTAAGGACGCGGATAGTAAAGGTGACGCAAGCACAGTGCGGCTAACACTGGCGAGAGCTTCAAAAACGTCGTTATCACAGTCCGGTGTCAGTAAGCCCGAGTGTATAGTGCCCGGATGATATGATTTCATCTCTTTTTGTCACTTGTATTTACATGCTTATAAATGCTTTATTCAGACTTTTATAGGAGATATAATATTTGTAAAATTCACTATTAATTCAAACTTGTCTTTGTGTATTACAAAGGGTTATTGCCCATGTTAATTTTAAGATTAAGCTTGAGGTTTGTCTTTAATTGTTTTAAAGTACATTTTTACAATGTCAAGCGTCAAAAAAGATGCACCGTCAGGCCTCATAAGCGATAATAACCGTTTGCTGACACGAACCTTAGATTTAGGAGCACAAATACTCAAATGAACGACTTCAACCAAACGCTGTGCTTGTGGAAAGTACTTTTACATTGGGGTAGTGGCTGGAATCGTTTATTTGGTCTCGATTTAAAAAAGCCTGATCGTGATGGATATACTCCTTTAAACGCATGTCAACACTTAATCCTGATTACGATTTCTTCCCCGGGCATTATAAAGCCATATCCATAACCATGTAATCATATAAGTGCATCTTTCCTTTCAACTAAGCCTTGTTAAGCAGATTAGTGCTCTCAGTACTGTAAATGTTGAATAAAGCAGAAAAAGATCATTTTTCATGTCAGTACAATATGATGCACGTATCTGGAAGTAAAAGAAGTCACTACGGCTCAACTGCCGGGTGAACTGAAACACTGAAACTGGACATTGAAGAGTTGGACAGTTTCTCCATGTGCAGAGAGCTCCACCTACCCTGA